CTATATTCGCCAAAACTTTTCTTGAATATATTGAATGCTATAGTTCGAGTTATTTTTGACAGTTTTGTTAGCTTAAAAAAAAAAAAGACACGTAATTTTCACGTATTTTCTGTCGTTTGTATAAAACAATATTTTTCCTTCAGAAAATATTGTCCTTATTCATAAAAGCAATTAAAAGCTTCCCCAATTAAATAATGTCTTATTTTTATTACATCTTTTATTTTACGATTCAGGGCAATTTTTTGGTAAGAAGGTTTCCGATTTTGCAAAAAAAAAAAAAAATTGATTTTTAAATTCTCTAAAGAGTTCTACTTTTAGTCACTGAAAATTATCACGCTGGATTTCTCAAGTTTTCATGAAATTAAGTGGGGTGAAACACTGCCAAAAAAAGGAATATTTTTTTACCATGATTTTCAAAAAAAAAAAAACATTTAAAAAATAATTTCATTAATTTGTGAATAAGTCTTGAAAATTTAATTAAAGTCCGACAACTACAGTATTAGATTTTTGCAAGAATTTCTAATGTGTCTGTCACTGCAAAAATGACGCTAAAATTTTGCTATTCTAATTTACATCCACTGACGCAAGAAAAACAAGATTTTTAATCGAAATTTCGAATGTTCTAAAAAGGAGTAAAAAAAAAATTAATTAAATATTCAAAAAATACCTTGATCATTCCTTTTAATAATAACATAAAGATGTCGGCGATAAACCTTTTTTATCACGGTATACTATGTTTTTAGCGATTCTGTGGAGGTACCTAAATCTATTTATTTGCAATCACCCGAAGCAAGGCAGTAATGTCATTAAATTGTAAGGTGTTACAGAGTGTGGAAGAATTAAGAACAGAAACATTAATGATGTGTGGAAAGAAAAAAGAATAACCAGGTGGACAGTAGATAGCGATTGACATTGAATTTAGATTTTTGCAGATTGAAGCTGGCTCAAAAATATGGAGCCGGAACGGAGTTCCACGAGCAAAAAGTGTGAGAGAAGAAGCTGTTAGTATAGAATTTACGGCTACATCTAGCCAGCTCAACTGTAAATCGATGAGATCTCGACGTCAGTCTGGTACTGCGCTTAAATTAAAAAACTCTAGGTACCATAGCGAAGAGGTAATCCGAACAATGGCCATGAAAGTATCTATAGAAAAGACACAGAGAGGCAACCTTATGCCGGTGGGAAAGTGACTGGAGCTGAGCTGCCAGATCAGGTCTAATAATATTGCAGATTCTTCAATGGATTTTATCAAGGAGCTCAAGATAAATAGCACTGAACCATATGTGGCAGCAATATTCTAAGCATGGACGAATGGTAGACATAAATATGTAAGATAGATTCTGGAGAGAAAAATTGTCTGACCAGTGAACCAACCTTCTTAGCAGTTGATCTCGTAATAGATTCAATATAGTCTTTCAACTATTTCAGAGTTTTTATTTTTACTTGAAGCAAAAAGCTGAGAAAATTAGAATTTAGATGAAAAGTTTGAACAAAGTAACTATTAACAATTTTTTTTCTATCCTCTGCCAGTCGGAATGATGGAGAAAGCATTACCTCGAACCATGGCCAGTGAAACACGCTGCAAGAGCCACTTCGTTTCGTGAGACTCGTCCCTTAATCGAGACGCCCTCGCACCAATCCTCCGAAGGAACGCCATCGAACGAGGGCCAATAACCCCAGAAGTCTCCACTGCCACAGGAGTAAAAAAAAAAAAAAAAATTATCAGCAAGAGAAGAATATTTAACTATTTTTTTTTTTATCTCTGCATCCCGGGCGACGCGAACCTGATCAAATTACTGGTCGAAAATGTATCCGCACAGGTCGCATCCCAAATCAACGACTTCCCCATTTTAAAAGGGAAAATGATAATGTCACCCGGCCGCTTTCCATCACCACGGTCGAGGCCTACGGGTTCGATTTGGGAAGGGAACCCAGCTGAATCCAAACCTCTTCTGATGATGTCGTTTATTGCTGCATGCCGTGGAAAGCGGCTGGCACTACGACGACAGGAGAGAGGATGCAAACCAAACTTATCGATGGAAGCTCCACATTTGCAACTTCGTATCAGCAGAGAACGTGAGCCCGAGAATGCGCAACAAGTCACTTTCCTGAAGGATAGCATCAGCCATCTTGGTGAAAGGCAACATAGGATCTCTAAGATGATTAATGAAGAGAAGTTTAGGTTTGGAGGTGTTAAAATTATCAAGGCGAGAGTAAATTGTTGTCGTCAATGTAGATACCAAGTTGAGAGCTGATGTCATCAGGAAGGCCATTAATGAAAATTCAAAATAGAGTAGGATCAAGGAAGGAGCTCTGGTGGTGGGGGAGACCCGCGTTAGTACGAAATGATCTAGATGAGTGGCCATTCAGGATAACTCTCATTTCACAATTTCATAGGAATCACAAGCACACATACGAACCCTACACAACATAGGAAGTGTGTATATGCGTATGTATGTATGTATGTATGTATGTATGTATGTATGTATGTATGTATGTACTAATTCCTTATAATAAGATAGTATGTATGTATGTAGAGGGAATATGCATATACATACGCATAAAGCAAAAACACACATAATACAAAGGAAAAAAAAGAATAAATAGAAATAGATGTAAGAACACACAGGAGTCATTAAAAGAGAAGAATATAGATATCTTTCCTCACCCTTTCTCAGACCAATCTTAATTGTTTTATTACCCTTCAAGCAGAAGAACTTTCTCACCTCCAGTCCAAGAAAGACATCTGTGTCACTACCACACAAAAAAGAGAATCTTTAACATCGAAAACATAAGGAAAATTAATTCATTTTAATAATATGTGGAAATATCCACTCTTTAACTGAAGAAGGTCGATATATATATATATATATATATATATATATATATATTATATATATATATTTTTTTCAGTATATTTTTCTTCATATATATATATATATATATATATATATATATATGTATATCGGACTGGGTTCTATAGCCTTGGATGACAACTGGTCTAGGAGAAGGAAAACTCTGAATTCAAAACCTGTTTGGAGACCTTGTGGCACGTAGTGCACCAGGTCTCTGTAATCGGCCCTTTAAAAAGTGTGGCTGGTCCTGCACGAAACCTTCATTACTATAATCAAATCTCATGTGCTATTCATGCGGGTTGGAGACCGCTTGTGAATTCCAAATTCCCATGAAACTCCAATATTGGAGCCGGCTTAACCCACCTCGGGTGAATGCCATTACAAGAGAAGATATATCGGCATTATCTCTCTTCCAGTATTGATCGGGATTTCCTTTCTAACCGTTTGTTTGAAGTGGTGTGGAATGTCAACATCTTGATTATATCAATTTCTTTCTCTTCGAGTTACATGTGATATCCATTTTAAGTTTTGTCGCTGTTGGTAGTCTTCAAGTGATGTGGTTTCTGTTATTTTGTGCAGTTCTTTGTTAGTGATCATGTAGCGTCAGTCCGCAAAGAAAGCTGATCTTTACCAAGCATTTCAGGCTTAACTCTCTCAAAGTCATTTTTCACCATTGATCTTAAGAAGTGCTTGTACACAGTTGACAGTTTAGATAAATATTATTTCAAACGTTATTATAGTGAATACTCGTATTTGAAATAGACGCCCTATTTATCGTTTGAAGCAATAATGATGTCAGATTAAAAATAAATCCATTAATTCTTTAGAATTACACCCACACACGCGCACACATAAAAATTCAGATATAAATAAAAATATATCTGTAAAAAGACAATATGAATAAAGACAAAAGGAAAACTATTTTTACCAACGCGTTTAATGTTGCAAAATATAATCTTTACTATTGCCATTATAAAGTCCACTAGAGGACAAAACGCGTTGGTAAAGAATAGTTTTCCTTTTATCTTTATTCACACACACACACACACACACACACACACACACACACACACACACACACACAATACATAAAAGGTTAATGGTCAGAGTTATTCAATAAAAAGTCAGTTAAATTAAGGTACAGTTGCACTTGTAATTTAGAAACGATAATAAATAGACAAAACGCTAGAAATCTCAAAACTAACGTGGACCAAAATAACACTAGTAATTTATTCAACTGCAGAAATAAGAATAGATGACCATTAAATGCAGTTTGTAAAACAGAGGTACTCTACTAAACTAGCTGACCAGGTGTTGAATTTAAAAGAAATAAACAACAGGGATCCGACTCTAAGGTGGAAAATTAAAAAAAAAACAACCAACAAAACCGTACAACAGTCAGAACAATATTTGCAACCTTTGCCAATAGGAAAAATTAGCGATTATGACATTTCCAGTTCCAAAAAACATTTTAAACCAGAAATCCAAAGTCCTAAGTCATTGCTTACATATCAGAAAATTTTTCTTAAGTGCATATTACGTTGGATAAAAAAAGCAATTTACCTCCCTCCACCAATACATTTCTTCTTCTTCTTCTTCTTCTTCTTCTTCTTCTTCTTCTTCTTCCCGTCTTGCTATTACACCCAACATCGTGCGTTTGTTTATTTATTTTTGAGAATAATAAAGTAGCGTTCATTAGTTTTTTTTCTTTCTTTTTTTTTAAATAAAGCGTTAAGAGGTCATTTGATTTATTAAAATCGCCCGAGGATACCGTAAGGTTGAGACCAAGATAGAAGATTCAACTGACTTCTTGATTTTTAAAGTATATCTATCTATCTATCTATCTATCTATCTATCTATCTGATTATTTGATTAATTGATTCATTTTCTACGGCTTATCAATCCTTTGTAGGTTATTTAAAGCCAGAAAATATTTTTAGATCTTAAGAATTTTTTTAGGTAAGAATGATTTAATTATACAAGTCTTACTAATTAATCCATAGCTAGGGGGTGAAGAGCTTGAATCGTATCTTTCCCAAGGGTATTTGCATGAAAGTGAATATAACGAACCCAACTGGAATTGGAACTCGGCTCTCAGATTAACAATTCCGGGTCATTACTCATTAAACCACTCACTCATCCCAGCTTACAGCATCTGGTATTCCCTAGTGGTCACCCATCTAGGTACTGACCAGACTCGACGTTGCTTAACTTCGAGGATCGTACGGAATCTGATGTTTCAGCGTGATGTGGTCGTAAGCCGTGCGAGCGCGCGTGTTTCCGTGAGAGAGGCGTGGAACTGATATTTACTGCGCAGTTTTGATTCTTTGACCACAATGTCTCTATAAAGTCTTCTATTTAGTAAGACTCTCGATATCTTGGTGGGAGATATTAATTTAACTGTTTAAAAAACAGGCATGAACTACTCAAACATCTATACCCGCTAAATATAACGTTTTTAGAAATAAATAAATAAATCAGTACACACACACACGCACGCACGCCCGCGCGCACACACACATACATACGTACATATATATATATATATATATATATATATATATATATATATATATATATATATATGACAGAATAAGGGACAAATACGAAACGTTTATAAATCTAATATGTTTCGCTTTTATTAAAGCTTTATCAGAATGAAATATAGAGAAGAATTTTGGCATTCTTAATTTTTGTGTTGTATCTCATGGTTAAGCAGACCTCACGTGCATCTGTCTTGTCAAGCAACGTTTGTGTGTATAAATAATTAATGTGTGTGTATCATAATTCTAGTTTGTCTATGCGGGATTATAATGCATATTCATGTGTGTGTATGTGTGTCTGTGTGTTTACGTGCGTCTAGTTGGCATTTTTTTTTTTTTTTATCTATGATTGAATGGTTGTCCGCGTGTTGATTTGGGGATGTTTTGTGTGAGGGTAAAAAGAATTTAAGTTACACTGGTTGTGTTATCAAGTAGACATATTCTAGTTTCTTTAAGTTTGGATTTTATAAGTTTGTGATATAATAAAGTGTGTTTGACGCATGTTTATAGATGGTAAGATATTTATCTGAATTCCCTCAAAGTATTTCCTGCGTAAAGGATTATGTTATTTTCTGATTAGGGTGGCATTTATAAAATCGAAGTTATAGCCTTTTTTCTGTGTATTAAGAGTGAGTTTAAGGGATTGTCCTAACGTAGGTCTCTCTTACGTTCGTAGATGCGGGCTTTTAGATTCTTAGATGTTTCGTAAATGTAACTCTTACTACATTGCAGGCGTTTTATGTCATAAATCTCGGCATCCGATGTAATGTTGGATCTATTTTCCTCCGATTGTTTTGAAGGTGGTGGTAAAGATTCTAGTTTGGGGGATAACTAATTAAACTAGTTTTGGAGGCTAGGGTTATGAATTTTCTGTTTTTGTTTCTGGAAGTACCTATGTTATCGGTGGTGGTGCCTACATTTTTGGACTAGTAGTTGTGGTTTAGACAAAACTTTTAAATAGTTGGTTGTCCGTAAAAACTTGGGACGAGAAAAGACTTTTATCGTTAGCGAAGATTCACTGACTATATTTTTTCTTGTTGTTGGAGATGATCCGTTTGAAGTTGCCGACACATGTTTCTTTCAGCACGCGCTGTGGGAGAAGTAAAATAGCTATGTAGTCATGGCGTAGAGACAATGGTATCTCTGATCTCTGAAAGTCGAAATCTATGGGTTTTTTTAAGAAGAATTTTTTTCCCGAAAGTAGGCTCGAGAAAAATAGGGTTTTAGTTTTCTCTGATTGGTCAAATATTTCATTCGGTGATGTTAATTTCTAACCAATAGACACTTTGATTTAAACGGTGTCTGTTGTATTTTGCAACCTTGGCGTGTTTGTAATATTATCTGTTATTGGGTAGAAAATAAAGTTTTGAGCGGATTTTAATATGGTATGTACGTGGGTAGGTAATTTTGTTGGAAATAAGGTTTATTTCCTATTATTGAAATTGATTTTTGTTTGTGGCATTTCGGCAAACTTTAAAATTTAATTCGTTATTGTTACATATTAATAAGATGCCGAGGAAAGGTACACATTTATCTGTTTAATGTATCTCGTAAATACATAGATAAGTTTCTTTTAATATATCGTCACAATGATAATCTTTTAAACGCCATAAACAGATTTAATAATGTATGACGTACCATCGAATTCACACATGGACATGAAATAGACAAGTCTTTATATTTCTTCAACATCTTATTAATACGTAACAATAACAAATTAGATTTTAAAGTTTACCACAAGGAAAAATGGTTTAGTCATTTTCTAATAAATGGATAAAAATGTGTACGAGACGCGCATGCGCACAAGAGAATATGCATTATAATCCCGCATAGACACACGAGAATTATGATACACAAGCACGCGCGTGCGCACACACACACACACACACACACACACACACACACATGAATTATATCCACGAACGTTGCTTGACAAGGCAGATGCATGTGAGGTTTGCCTATCCAATGAAAAACAAACAACACAAAAATAAAAAAATACAAGAATTTTCTTTCTCTCCGCCATATCTCATTCTCTGCTTTAATCAAAGCGAAACATGCTAGATTAATAAACATTTCCTATTTATTTTTTTCAATCCAATATATATATATATATATATATATATATATATATATATATATATATATATATATATATATGTGTGTGTGTGTGTGTGTGTGTCTGTTTGTGTGTGTGTATTTATTTATTCATTCATTTCTACAAACATTATATCTGGTGGGTACGCATGTTTTGAGTAGGTACACCTGTTTTTTTTTTTTTTAAACAGTTAAATTTATGTTTCCCGGTCAAGATATGGAGAGTCTTAGACGACGATATAGAGTCATTGTGATGAAAGAATCAAAACTCTTTCTCTGTTTTTTTTTTCTCTCTCTCTCTCTCTCTCGCTCACACACGTACGATCACCGAAGTTAAGCAATCTAAAAATATTTTCTTGCTTTAAAACCTGTAAAACCTATTTGTGCTAAAATCACAATAAGATGACATTACATGTTACTGAATAAATAAAAATTGGATGCATTGTAAATCAAATATCAAAACTGACCTACATTGGAGTAAAAAAACCCATGATACATGTTGCAGGATTGCTTGTATGATTTGGGTAAATATTTAATCATCATGATGTTACGGCAAACAATACCCTGGAGAGTAAACATTTAAGGGCTCCTGGAAGATTTATCCCACAAACAATATTGGCAGACCCGATGTGAGTCTAAGTAAAAATGAGTAACACAAAAGAATATGAAATAAACAGCAATTGTATGTATTGACAAAAGGAATTAAAATTAAAATAAAAGAAGAAGACATTTAAAAACTAGTTACATAGAAAACATTTAAACTAGAGAATGTGCGTGAAAATAGAGTAGGCCTACGTAGCGTGGGAAAACTCTTTTAAGTGGATGGTGACGCCATTCTTCCTCTGCATAGGTGAAACTTTTCGTACCAGCAGGCCGCGTCAGTTTGCAGTTGTTACGCCTAGAGTACAGGCGTATAGCTCGCGGTCATCGGATTTTCATTTTCGCGCAACACCGAACGCATTCAGCAGAGATATTGCATCAAATTTTGCCAAACGCTTGGTGATACTCAAACTCAAACCAAACAGAAGTTTAAGCAGGCCTTTGGCAATGGTGCCATCGGCAAGACTCAGATCCAGGAGTGATACAACCGCTGCAATGGAAGACCGTCGTATAAGAACGCAGGAAATTGCACGCGTGCATTGCATTTTCACGGAGAAATTGTGCATGCGGAGAGTGTCGGCGAAAATTTGTCTCCGAGGTGCTAGAGGAATAGCAGAAGGAAGGCTTCATGGAAATCGCGCGATTTACAGATTTGAAGCCAGAAGACACACTGTGCTATGTTGAGCGAGTAGGGAACCCCTGTCGAACAAGTGATATGTTGCTCAGGACCAGGAAAGCCTGGTGCAATATCACTTCTCGATGCGTTTCGTCATCTTTCGTACGTGCCTTAACCGAATCAAAGGACGAATATTTTCTATGAACATTTCTCGGACATTCAAGCCGGTAAATGTTATTTAATACTGTTTATCATAAACAGAGCATTTACTTAAATACTTGTATCTATAAAAAGAATGTTAAACATAAAAATATCTTTAATAAATTGTCGGACTTTGTCCAATTCTTAATGTATGACGTCATTTGTTTACATTTGATACGCCATGAGCAGTTATGAATGTACGAGATTCATGGAAGTTTGAAGTTTATAAGCAGTAAATTCGACCTTGCCTACCGAGTCGGTTAAGGCACGTCAGCGTAATTGACGGTTCCGTATAGGATGCAGGTTCGAATCCTGTCAAAGGACGAATATTTTCTATGAAATCGGTAAATGTTATTTAATACTGTTTATTATAAACAGAGCATTTACTTAAATACTTGTATCTATAAAAAGAATGTTAAACATAAAAATGTCTTTAATAAATTGTCGGACTTTGTCCAATTCTTAATGTATATATATATATATATATATATATGGGTGTGTGTATTAACATACAGTCTAACACACACACACACACATATATATATATATATATATATATATATATATATATATATATATATATATATATCAACATACAGACAGTCACACAGCACGTCGAAAACACACGCATACGGGAATATTGATGGCCATATTAACCACATTGATGAAATCCACTTAAACCAATTCATACTTTTGATGCGATTTTGCCCGAACATGATTTCCCTTGGTTCTGGTTTCTGTCCAATCTACGTAAAGACCTTTGATGCAAGTCCTTGAATAAAGCACGTAATCAGACATGGAATCGATAGATGCAGATCGATAAAATAATCCTATCATTGACTGGCAAGTGATAAAGATATGAACATTCCAAACACGCTCACAAAAATCCCTCGATCAGATGAAGCAAACTCATACTACAACGAAAACACTTTTCCCTTCGTGTACTGAAGACGAAGAAGGTTAAATTACACTCCGTATTCAAAAGATAATGTTCAATTTATTTGACTCTTGACAACAGCAGAAGGTGACATAGTTAGCTCTTAAAAAAAGGAGATTTTTTTCTAAGTTAAAAAAAATTAACACGTGTTGAAAATAAAAACAAACGTTACAGCTTTTCTATTCGATATTCTATGTTCATCGCCCTTTCTATTCTCTGTTGCTATAGGCCGTTCTCTATTCTATTTTTCATTATCCTTTCTGTTCTCTGTGGACATAGTCCGTTCTATATTCTATTTACATCGGCTTTTCTATTCCCTGTTGCCATAGTTCGTTCTATCTTCTGTTTTCATTGCCCTTTCTATTCTTTGTTGCCATAATCGTCTCTGTATTCTATATTTATCCTTCCCTTTCTGTTGACATAATCCATTCTATATTCTATTTTCATCATCCTATTTATTTTCTGTTGACATATTACCTTCTATATTCAATATTGTTTTAAAAATATATCCATTTACTCTTTATAAACAAAACACAAACACACACACAAACACATTTGGACTGTAATTTTCTATCATTCTCCTTTGGTAAAAGACCAACAAAAACTCTTTTCCAGTGTACTTTTGTTTTATATACATTTTAAAATTTTCATTTTATTTACATTATTTACATTCTGACTAATATCATGATCTTTGTTGCTATTATCCCAACACCTCGGCCATTGTATCTTCCGGTCTTCCACTGTCTGTCAATCCGGGTAAATTTTCTCAGAATTTCGAGCAGGAACTTTTTTTTTTTTTTTTTAAATCCACGACGGTTCGATTGTTCTTGTCTCGTCGTCCATATCTAGGGGAGACAATTCGTCTTGCTTAAATATTGCTTAATTATTATTCGGACTCTTTCTACTGATTCCGAGTCTTTAGAATCTGGACCGCTTGGTTTTTTAGAAGCATCCGGATTTTTAATGAAGTTAGCACTGAAAGTTCTGCTATGGCCAATTTCATTTGCAATGGCTTGTTGCGAAAGACCACATCTTTGAAGTTCAACAATCCTGCCCTGTTTGAACTTTGTTAAAATTTTACCCTTAGCCATTTTAAAATCTGAAATTTAATACTGTAAATGATCTACGTAGATGTCTACACGCCTGAAGCTATGAGAACGCTGACAAGTTCTAAAATTTTTGTCCAGTAATTTGTTTTTTTCATACATGGTCTTATCTTTATGACCAACCAAAAAGTCCTTTTTTCAATGTTTGTTTAAATTAATCAATTAAAAGCTTAAGATTTTCACTTGTTTGTTGATAAAATATATTTTCTAATTAAATGTAAATGTTTCGCAAATATATTTTGATTAAAGTAACAGTATTTGATAGTTTTTTTAACCCTTTGTATCTGGTCTTAATATTTTGACCAGGGGTGTATCAACACTTCGGCAGGTTTATTTTATATCAAATGTCAGTTTTATTGGAGAAAAATCACAATGAATTAATAGATAAAGATAGATGTTTTCTTTCTTTCTTTCTTTCTTTCTTTTTTCCGATTCTTTCTTTCTTTCTTTCTTTCTTTCTTTCTTTCTTTCTTTCTTTCTTTCTTATTTCCGATACTTTCTTTCTTTTCCCGGAGTCCCCAGACTTGTCATTGTCTTCTCTAAACTTTTCCGATACAAATATCTATCACAGTTTCTCAGACAGGAGGCATTTAGTTCCCAGTGGAAAAATTTTAAATCTCAGAGGCGGCATTTTAGCCAGCGGATGTACTGGGCATTAAATCCATTGGGAATTTTAAGATTCACAGAAAGAAGGATTTCTTAAGTTATTTGGTTGGAATTTTGAATCATAAATTGATTCAGTAATTATTGTAAAAGTAGAGTGGTATTGAGAAAACCAGGGACCGGAAATGGAAAAGGGGAGGAATTTGATTTGGGACACAATTCTCTTAGAATTTTTCGTTCACCTATTCTGGCAATGGAAATCAAGGAAATTATTCTGTTTTTGAGTATGTTCAGTTCTATAAGAGTCTTTCAACAGGAATGTCTACTGATATGTGAACAATTTTGATGCTGGCTCTGTCCTTTCTTTACTTTTCATGTCGGCCATTTTTTTCTCATTGTATTCATAAAACAATCGTAAAGCATAGTTGCCAACCGTCCGTCAGCCGCCATCTTTACATCATAAATCGGAAGTGTCACTTTTTTTGCAATGTTTTGATCTTTTTAAGAGACTGACAAGCCTCGAAGGAACGTCTGAAGATAGCCAAGCATTCGCGTCGGAAATTAATGTTCATCACACTATAAATGAGCGGGTTAACGCTGTTATTTATAAAATAAGAACGCACACATACGTTGTATATCAGCTCCTCTTGATGTGTTTCGAATTCATTGAAAGCAACTTTGGCCGCCTTGAGCAGTGTCACCGTGAGAAAAGGTAGGAAGCTGAGGACAAAAATGACGGTGACAGTGATGAAGATCATTGTTGTCCGGCCGGCACGTATAGCTTGACGTGAATTCGGGACCGGTGTCGATAAACTGTCTAACGACCCTCGTCTTTCTTCCTTGGAAACATTGCCCGAAGATGGGGTCATTTGTAGGCTGGCAGCGCTTGGCCGTCGCGTGTTATCTATGACTTCACCAATTGTTGTTCTTTTTACCTTCCATACCATCCTGCCAATGAGCGTGTACAATGTCGTAATGATACACAAGGCGATAAAGAACACGCCCAATAATGTTCCATAATATAAAGTTGGGTAAACTCTATCACGAATATTGTCGTCAACTGTGCACTCAACTCCAGTTATATTCGGGTCGGAGGTCGGGATAGATTTGCGGCCAAAGATGACCAGTGCTGGCCAAGACATAAAAAGGCTTAGTACAACTGATACAAAGCAAAGAATACGAGCCGTGCGGAGGGGAAATTTATGAAATGGCCGGCAGATTTTGAAATAGCGATCAAAAGCAACACATATAAGCGTAGCTGCCGAGGCTATAATAGTAATAGACTCGACGAAGCGTAGTAGCTTGCAAGCAACAGGAGCGTCGAACATGTAGGGGTAACTGATGTCACAGATTTCAAACGGCATCCCTATACAGCAGCTGGCCAGATCAAGGACCCCTAGAGTGAAAATGAAAAGGTTGGCTGGTGTCAGTCGAAATCTGAAATAGTAAACATAGCACACCAAACAGTTGCCGATAATTCCTGATATCATGAGCAACGCTAAGTAGACGACGACGAAAACAAAGCTGTTCGCCTTACGACGATTTTCGTCCCATAACGTGTTAGGCTTCGTTGGCGAATACACGGTATCGTTGAACATTGACGTCGAAAACGAAGTCTGTGCTGATGTCGTCAACGTTGAAGCCAGCCATAAAGTGGAGGCATTCATCGACGGTGATGAAGAGTTTAATCCAGTCATTCCGTTAGGTTTTTGGTTTAAGATGAGACTGAAGCAATAAATAGATTCCTTTACGTTACTCTTTATACTCGGGTTGGGTATTGTAACTTGGAACAGTATTTATTTATGAATAGTTTTGTATATTTTTCAACAATAACTAAAGATGGAAATTTGGGACAATCAAGGGAGATAACTCGCGTAATCAGGTAGATATCATGGAATTTTTCCCTTTGTCATTAATTAGTACATTTATCAAGTGGTGTTTATTCTTTTAATAAATAAATCCTTGGCAGTTTGTTTTTAATCTATTCGTTTATTTTTTCGTAGCATTTTTTTTAAATTTTTAATTTTTCCTAGAGTTATTTCATTGTAGTAATAAAAATTTTCAAATTGAATTCTTGAAATGCATCCAGAATGTCTCCGTGATTAAATGATACTTGATGATAATAAAAAAGAAGACTTCCTATCAATGAAGTTTACTCGGTTTTTCTTTTATTTAAAATTTTTCAATCAAAATTAAGCATTTGAATCTCATGTTTTCATGTTTTTGACGGAAGGGCCATTTTCCTGTTACCATTCTCTGTAAAAAAAGAAGCGAAAACGAAATTAAAATAAACATTAAAAAGTCGAACAATACATCGATTAAATCAACAACATTAAAAAAAGACATTTAATTATTACCATAAAAACGAAATTAGCTGTTTAAAATCGGAAACTGGCTTTTACCTAGTGTGCCATTATACCACCTTGTCGGCTACGGGTCTTCTATTAACGCCCGCTATGTGGCATTGTATAAAGTAGTATCAATTACATGTACAAAAACTTTCTTCCGCAACAGGATACCGTAGTGACATAACGTGTCTTGTTTCCCTTCCAGAGATACTTCTTAGCGTATCACGTGTCGTATACGTAGTGATAGAAAAATAAGTAAATAAAAATAAATAAACAAGAGGGCCAAAATTTCACCATATAGATGTATATTCAAAATCGCCAGGCCCCAAAGCCATATTTCGACCACTAATCAGAAAGCTTTCACAACCAGGATATAAGGTGGTGATCCAATAAGAAGGGAAGCGACACTTCCGATGCGGATCTCTCGATGTGTTTATAACGAGATTGAAAATCAGCCTTAATCAAAATCGATGAATTCATTTTGTCTATCCCCCCATGCGGTAACATAGCCAGACCCGAAATGCGACATTTGAGACTTGCTACATTTATTTTCTAAGCGTAGCTTATATGTAGCACACCTGGCAGGGAGACTAGAACTCGCTACTCAGTCGTAATTGCTCTAGAGAGACAAGCTTGCTAACCATTGCACCACACCGAAGTGTCCGCTACATTTATGAATATACATCCTTTCTTTCACCACCTTTAAGCAGCCCGTTGATACATTTGAAAATATACTTTCCTTCACCCATATTTTATATATTATACTTTCCTTCACCCATATTTTTAAGCTACTACATTGGAATACATACATACATATACATATATATATATTTACTTTCTGTCGGACTTTCTCTCACCCCCCTCTCTCTCTCGTATGCGCCAGGGCTTTTACATTTGAACTCTTGAAAAGTTCCTTATACTTCTGTATTATTATATTGTGTTATATAAAGTTTGGTCCTGGTCTGGCATCTCAGCTTCAGTCAATTTCTCACTGCCGTAAGGTTGCCTTTCTTTACCTTTTCTCTAAATACTTTTATGGTTGTTGTTTGGATAAGCTCTTTGCTATAGTACCTAGCCTTTTTTTAATTTAAGCGCAGTACTAGTACAAGATCTCATCAATTTACAGCTGAGTTGGCTAGATGTAGCTATGAATTCCATGCTAACAGTTTCTTTTCTTGCACTTCTTACTTGTGAAACTTCCTTTTGGCTGCATGCTTTCCAGCCAACTTTAATCTTCAAAAATTTAAATGCAATGTTAATCATTATCTACTGTCCTCCTGATTATTCTTTTTGTTCTTGCCCATTAGTAATGTTTCTGTTTCTAATTCTTCTACACCTCTTAACCTCTTGTGTCTTAGCGACTTTACTACCTTACCTGGGGCGAGACCAATTAAAAGATATATACAGTGTAACCCGGATATAAGAGAGTTGTCGGGACCGGAGAATAAGTCTCTTATATCCGGGTTTCTCTTATATCCGGGTTTGGTCTATTTTGTTTAGGTAAGTATGGGCTCTAATTTGGGACCAGAGAAAATTTCTCTTATATCCGGGTTTCTCTTATATCCGGGTTACACTATATATATATATATATATATATATATATATATATATATATATATATATATAAAGAACAATTTTAGGGAATTCTATGACCAAGTGGAAAATGTTTTTGTGTGAAGCATTTCGTCCATTATGGTCTCATTTGGCTAAAGTTCTGTTTTAAATCAATTTAAGTAACAAAACTTGTAATATATATATATATATATATATATATATATATATATATATATATATATATATATCGATTCTCCCGTCGAATTCGACGTATGAGGGTCAAGCAGATCAGTTCCCAGGAAACAGACAGCCTGACAACAGCACATGAGGTTTGATTATAGTGGTGAAGGTTTCGTGCAGAACCATCCACACTTTTTGAAGGGCCGAATAAAAAAAAAACCTGGTGCACTAAGTGCCACAAGATTCCCAAACGAGCCTCTGCAGGTTTTGAATTTAGAGTTGTCCTTCTCCTAGACCAGTTGCCATCCAAGGCTATAGAACCCAGTCTGTCCTGCTATTTACCCATAGCTGGAGGGAGAAGAAGAGGATTCATACCTTTCCCAAGGGTATTAGCACGTCAGTGAATGTAATAGATTCAACTGGAATTCGAATTCCTCAATCCAAGCCGTTATCCATTACTCCACCGTGCCTTCTCATATATATATATATATATATATATATATATATATATATATATATATATATATATAGTAACCCGGATATAAGAGAGTTGTCGGGATCGGAGAAGAAATCTCCTATATCCGGGTTTCTCTTATATCCGGGTTTGGTCTATTTTGTTTAAGTAAGTATGGGAACACTTTCGAGCCAGAGAAAATCTCTCTTATATCAGGGTTTCTCTTATATACGGGTCTCTTATATCCGGGTTACACTATATATATATATATATATATATATATATATATATATATATATAAATAAAAAATAAAAGAAAGAACAGTAAGATATATAATCCGGTGTTCTTATAGATATTTTTATTTTTACAAAATAGTGCTCAATGTAAATTTACAGAGCATTAATATTATAAATTAATTGATTTAAAATATGTTTTTTTCGCTACACAGTTCTAACCATATTTCAAAAATGGAAGCTAAAAGCCACGAATGTCTTTAATTGAATTGAAAAATTAAATTCGTGGCTTTTAGCTTCCATTTTTTAAACATGGTTAGAACTGTGTAGCGAAAAAACTATATTTTAAATCAATTAATTTATAATATATATATATATATATATATATATATATATATATATATATATATATGATAAAGTTAACTGGTGATCCATATGGATAATTTCAGGAGGATATAAATACCGAGAGCTAAATGTGTTATTTAATGCCAACCAGATTTTTATTGCTGCTAATAGACTTTTCAAAAATGTATTACTGATAATAATTTTTTCTTAAAAAATTCATCGATGATAATAATTTTTTACAAAAATGTATTGCTTGTAATAAAACCTATTTTTACACGTTTTGACCTTAGTTTTCTATTTTCCCATGACTAGGACCCTAACAGGTGCTACCACCCCGGGTCAGGGTGGACCTGGGAACACTAGCAATTAAGACGTGGTTCCACGCTCCTCAAAACCTGATCAGAGGCCTTGCTGTCGGATGTAGTTTATCGTCATACCCAGGACGCGGATGTAGTTTATCGTCATACCCAGGACGCGGATGTAGTTTATCGTCATACCCAGGACGCGGATTTAGTTTATCGTCTTAACCAGGACGGGGAATAGTGCGGTGTGTTGTAAGTGACACCGAGTTTGCCTGCGAGCTAAGAAGCCTTTCCAGGTGAGAAACAAGATACGTCTTGTCACTACGGTAACCTGTAGTTGAAGAGAAAAATGGGAGAGAGAGAAATGAGAGAGAGAGAGAGAGAGAGAGAGAGAGAGAGAGAGAGAGAGAGAGAGAGTTTGACCTTTCCTTTTATATTGCTTTATACAACGCCACCTGGCTGGCGTTAACAGAATCCATTGACAGATAAGGTGAGTTAATAACATACGAGTAATAAACTAATGTAAACCATAAACATCTTTTGTTGAGATTTAAGCTTGTTTTTTTTTTATTATTAATCGTTTCATTCCAAGCAAAGCGACAAGGTGACTAGAACATAGGGTGTTACAGGGAGTTAAAGTGAAAGAGAACGAAAAAACTGAGAATAGGGAGGCCCGAGGAAAGGGGGAAAAACAGGGCTTAAGAAGTCAGAAGATGGCGATTGACGTTGCATTTAAATTTGTGAAGTTTATAGTTATCATGGAAGCAAGAATTCGGAAGGGAGTTTCACAGATGGGAAGTGCTAGAAAAGAAAGTTAGGGTTGAAGAGATGGTTGCATCTAATTATTTCGACATTTAAACGGTGAAACTTAGTTGCTAATCTAGCAACACGCTTCAATTAATGTAGTCGAGCCACCAGAGAAAAAAATTCACATAAGAACAGTTGCCA